AGAAGTGGAGGTTACAGAAGCTGGGGAAAGAGTAATAAAACTGGTTCATGAAGACAGTTTCAGTTTGAGATTATGAAAACATTCTGGAAGTGGATGGTGGTGATAGTTGCACAACCATGTAAATGTACTTAATGCCACTGAACTATACACTTAGAAATAGTAAAGAGGGTTAATTTTATATTATGAATATGAGAGAGAGAGAGAGAGAGAGAGAGAGAGAGAGAGAGAGAGAGAAGAGAAAGCGACATAAGTCCAACTCTGATCAAGTAATCAACAGTTTTAGCTCGAAGTCACCCATGTGCCGTTGCCAATCACATGTCCTCCTGCTTCAGAGATAATCCTGCCTCTGTCTTTTATGGTAACTACTTTGTGACTTTTCTTTCTCAATTTGCTTCCTAAATATGCATCACAGAATTTTTAAATTTTATTTGCTTTTTAATCATACCTTTATTAAGATATAATTGACATACCATAATATTCACCCTTTAAAGTGTACACACCAGAAGATTGTAGTGTGCTTAGAAAATTATACGTGTCACAAAATCAATTTTAAAACATTTTCTCACCCCTAAGCAAAACATTAGTATCTATTATTAGTCACTCCCCATCTTCCCCTCTCCACAGCTCATGGCTACCACTACTCTACTCAATGATTTTGTCTATTCTAGACACTTCATAGCAGTGAAATCCTACATGTGGGAATCTTCTGTGGCTGGCTTATTTCACCTAGCATAACGTTCCCAAGGATTAGCCATGAGGAAAATTGCATCAAAATTCCCTTTCTTTTGGCCAAATAATGTTCTTTTCGTGTGGATATACCACATTTTACTTTTAGATACATCTGTTGATGAACATTTTGGTTGTTACTACTTTGGGACTACTGTGAATAATACTGCTATGGACATTTAAGTACAAATTTTTGCATGGACATATGTTTGCATTTGTCTTAGGTAGATACTTAGGAGTGGAATTGTTTGGTCATGTGAGAACTCTGTTTATCCTCTGGAGGAATTTCCCAAGCAGCTACACAATTTCACATTTCTGCCAGCAATGAATGCGGCTTCCAGTTCCTCCTCCTATCACTGGTATTTGTTATTTTCTACTTTTTAAATTATAGCCATTCTAGTGGGTGTGAAGTGATAGCTCGTAGTTTTGATCTGCAATTCCTTAATAATTAACGATGTTACACACCTTTTCATATTCTTTTTGGTCTCTATCTTCTTTGTAGAAATGTCTATTTACATCTTTTCCCTTATAAAATTGGGTGTCCTTTTCTTAATTGTAAGACTCATTAATATTTCCTGGGGCCCTAACCAGTTTGGTTCAGTTGATAGAGCATCGGCCTGCGGACTCAAAGGTCCCAGGTTCGATTCTGGTCAAGGGCATGTACCTTGGTTGTGGGCACATCCCCAGTAGGGGGTGTGCAGGAGGCAGCTGATCGATGTTTCTCTCTCATCGATGTTTCTAACTCTCTATCCCTCTCCCTTCCTCTCTGTAAAAAATTAATAAAATATATATTTTTTAAATATTTCCTGGGTACTGGTCTCTATCAGATATGATTTGCAAATATTTTCTCTCATTCTGTCTTTCCACTTTTTAAAAAAGATTTTTCTATTGATTTTTAGAGAGAGAGAAATGGAAAGGGGAAAGACAGAGAGACTGATCTGAAAGTAAGAACCTTAGAGAGCCCAGTTAAATGAACCAAGCATGAGGTTGCAAACACTTTATCAGCCATGATTCCATCTCTGATGTTCTCTTCTTAAATAATTTAATATTTTCTAACTGAGAAGAGCCACTGTGGCCTTGTTGTACACAAATTGATTCAAAAACTTCATAACCTCATGCAAGACTTCCATAATTTTATTAAATATGAAAGGTGGTATTGGAATTTTTCAAAAATTTTTCCATAGTTCTAAAAATGTAAAGCTTACGCTGGCTGGTGTGGCTCAGTTGGTTGGGCATCATCCCATGCACCAAAAGGTTGCCAGTTTGATGCCCGTTCAGGGAACATGCCCAGGCTAGTTCCGGGCTAAATCCCCAGTAGGAGGCAGTGAATCGATGTTCATTCTCACAATGATGTTTCTCTCTCTCTGTTCCTTTATCTCCAAAAATCAATGAAAAACATTTTTAAATATGTAAAGCTTAATGTCCAGAAGCAAGGGGAGTATTAATTTTAAAGCATCAGCATTTTGCAAATATTCTTGGTAGAAGTCTGCTTTTGCTTTTGAAAAAACATGTCAGTGAACATATTTGCCCAATGGAAGCACCAAAATTCTATCTTTGATATTAAGTTCATAAACACCAGAAGTTTAAAAAAAATTATGTACGTTTTCAAAAAGTTTTGCAACTTTGTAATGTAAAACTTTAGCGTCCCTCTGACATTGATAATGTCATCCCTGTTTAACGTATTTTATTTTTCCTTCCATTGAGCCCTAGAGAAGAGAGTAGAGTGTGATTGCAAGTTATAAGAACAATACTAAAAGCATGTCCTACAGGGACAAGAAAAGATGTCAGGTGGGGACATCCAAAGAAAAGGGACCTGTACAAGTCTCCCAGGGAGGGCCGTGACTTCTGGACTTCAGGAACAATATTGGCAACCTCAAATCTGTTCTTTTAAACTTTGTAATTTTCCTTTGTTTCCACAAATCTGGGTAAAAATCTAGAGCCTGGACTTAGCTATACTTTGGAGAATAAGGGAAGGGTCTGGGTTTTCATGGCCTGAGCAAGCACAGAGAGGACAGTAGCCACCCACGGAAGGCAGATTAAGGACAGCAAGCAGTCACTGTCAGAGTCTCCTGGGGCAGCAACTGGCTGGGACTTGAGAGACTAGCAACACAGATTATTGGAACCTATAAGCTAGCATCCCTCAGAATCACCCAGACATAATGGGGAGAGGAATCAGGTGAAAGAGTCCGCACTGCATAGAAGCAGTTACACATAATACAGAACACTGAACTGCGGACCTGGCACTTCCAGACCCAATTATCCTACCTTCTCTCCTGCCCACTTAAAACTTGGTCACTTCTCACCCTAGCTGTTTTGGCTCAGTGGATAGAGCATTGGCCTACAGACCAAAGGGTCCCAGGTTTGTTTCCAGTCGAGGGCACATATCTTGGTTGTAGGCTCATACCCTGGTGGGGGCCAGGCCGTGGTCGGGGAATGTGCAGGAGGCAACCAATCGATGTGTTTCTCTCACATCAATGTTTCTCTCTTCTTTCCCTCTTTCTTCCACTCTCTCTAAAAGATTAATGGAGCCCTAACTGGTTTGGCTCAGTGGATAGAGCATCGGCCTACGGACTGAAAGGTCCCAGGTTCAATTTTGGTCAAGGGCATGTACCTTGGTTGCAGGCACATTTCCAGTAGGAGGTGTGCAGGACGCAGCTGATGGATGTTTCTCTCTCATCGATGTTTCTAACTCTCTATCCCTCTCCCGTCCTCTCTGTAAAAAAAATCAATAAAATATATATTTTTTTAAAAAGATCAATGGAAAAATATACTCGGGTGAGGATTAACAATAACAAAAAATAGTCACTTCCCTGGTATAGTCTATCCTAAAGAGCTTCAACTGTCAATCCCTGGAGTTTGGGGATTTCACACATTTTAAGATTCACCTTGCAATATATAAATATGTCCAATTTTGTCACTTTTTCAAAGGACTTCATTCAAAGAGCTGTTTCCTGCTTTTAGACTGGTCTTGTACACCTGAGGGTTAGTCATAAGAACCACAATGAAAAATTAAAAATAGTCTATACAATTTCTATATTTGCTAAATTTTTGTCAAATATTGTGAAATCCTAAATAGGTCTTACTGATGGATTCCCAAATATCTACCTGACTTTTGGTCCTTAACACGTGCCATTAAATTAGATAAGAATGATTACCCTGTACCTAAATCATGATTCCCTTATTTGTTAAGTTTTGAAAATACGTGATGTTTATTATCTTTTAGTATACTCACCATCAGCATGTGCATAGTCAGGAAGGTTACCCCTTCTGTTCACTGAAGTGCTTCTCGGCAGAAATCCTCCACACCTTTTCCAAGTCTCTAATGACAAGTTTATATTTGGAGGCACTCAGTTACCCCGTTTTATCCTTGTTCTTGGAGCTCTTGGGTGACAACCAATAGCATGTTTTCCCCATGAATCTTGATCTCTGGCATACAACATTCTGAGATTTGGTTACCAGCAGATCTTGTGACTTGAAAACTTATATAACCGAAGGCTTGATTTTGGATTTTGCTCTGAAGTTTAGGATTGTTACACCAAAATAATTAACATAAGCTTCTTAAAAGCAGAAACCAGGTCTTATTCTTTTGTTTGCTCTTATCTGCTCACATAGGGTGGGCAGTTAGAAGAAGGACTCAGCATATGGATCATCAGGGACTGATGCTAAGGAACTTCTCTGAAACTCAACCTGTAGCAACACTGCACCTGAGCAAGGTTTTGGCTGTGTCATGTCTAGACCTAGCAAGTGGCATCCAAAGTGGTTACTTTCCTGTCCTATGGTTGGCTCTGGTTAAATCCTTCACTTAGTCAACATTTACTGAGCACTTACAATGAGCAGGGCCCTCAGAGCTGAACAAGATACAAATCTGCTGTGCCATGATGTCAGAATGTAATAGGGAAAGGACACTTTCATTGATAATGACTACACAGTGTGGCTTTTGTTTCATTAGTGTCACCAAATAAGAAGCCATGTTCTGGGCAAGCAAAAACATATCAAATGTCTCCCTGATCACTTTCTTTTTTTCTTTACTGAAGCAAAAGCTCATGAGACAGTGAAGAACGTACTTTCAGTCATACCTGGGGTGGGATGCAGGCCCCACCCCGTACTAGCTCTTTGGTCTCTGTTTCCTCGTGTACAAGATGAAGGCCTCATAGGGTGAATGAGAGGATTTATTAAGACAACAAATGCAAAGTGTCTATCTAGCATAGTGTCTTGCCCAGGATGGGTAATATTATTGCATATACTTTGTGCTGTCTTAGCAAATAACTACCACACGAAAATAACTACCACACAGGAAACATTCCTATGAGTTGTTAATAGACAAAATATCAACTTCAATATAGAATTTAAGGAAAAAACAAATACCTCAAATATGATCTCAGCACTTACCTCAATTATCCCAGACCCAGGGTGATCAAACCACCCTGGATCAGATATAACCCCTTCCAGAAAGCCCAAATTAAAGAAACCCCAAGTACTAGGCTGCATGGAGTCTGAAATGATGCTTAATCTGCAAATAACCTTGTATTTATTTACTTATTTATTTTAAATTATCTCTTTCAGGAATAGAAACGGTTAGGGCAAATCAAAGTACTCAATAGATAATGTTCCTAAAATAATGCATTGTTGTCACTGGTTTGAATAATCCAGTAATATAGGTACAGATAATACATTGTCAAACAATGTAGATGGAATATCGTATTATCTGTATCTATAGTAATATAGGTACAGATAATACATTATGTCAAACAATGTAGATGGAAGATGGTACGCCGTGAAAAAAATTTCAGGTCAAAAAGTGGCCTAAATGAAACAACTAGCAATGATCCATGAGAAAAACTTAGTTTCATGAAATGGGGAAAAGCAAAAATACAGAATATTTCATGTACGATTTCATATATGTATAATCAAATTACTAAGTAAATATTGAAAGCAGGAGTTCTCTTCCTATGTAGTATTTCTGTAGATTATACAGTCCCATCAGCACTACTAGAGCCATCAATTCTCACTTTCTCTTTGCCTTTCTAAGCCTTCCATTCCTACTCAGTACTTGAGGTATTTGATATTCTTTGGCTTCTTCCTCAACTACTCTTCTCCCTTTGGTTATTTCTGTGCTTCAATTGCTACCATCACTTATGACTCTGGTGGGGGAGGCTCCTCAGGTGGGGGAGGCGCCTCTGGTGGGGGAGGCGCCTCAGGTGGGGGAGGCGCCTCCGGTGGGGGAGGCGCCTCTGGTGGGGGAGGCGCCTCTGGTGGTGGTGGCTCCCCTGGTGGTGGTGGCTCCCCTGGTGGTGGTGGCTCCCCTGGTGGTGGTGGCTCCTCTGGTGGTGGTGGCTCCCCTGGTGGCGGTGGCTCCTCTGGTGGGGAGGCTTCTTCTGGTGGGAGGTCCTCCTCTCTGATTTCCTCCTCTGATTCAGTAATGGTATGCTCTGAACTCAATGTTGTGGAGGCCCCTGGGGTATCTACTGACTCAATGCCAGCATTAAGACTAATGCAACATATTAATAATATCAATAATAGTAAAAGAAATGCAGGGAGTATGAAAACTATAACACCAAGATTTTGAAATTCATTCTTAAGTTTAGCAGGACTGCCACCTTCACCTGCACTTAGATTTTCATCAGTTGGTTTAGCAGGGGAACCACTGTCCACACTCCCCCCATTTCCTGGAGTTCTGCAGTCAGGGGGTGCATAGCCAGCCTCACAGTGGCAGTGCCTTACATTGTTACAGACTCCTCTCCCATTGCACATTTCTGCTGGTCTGCAGTCATAGTTGAGCACAGCATGATCAGTGCAGGAGTAACTCATGCAGACTTTGTTTGGGGCACAAGCAGTGCCAGAGTGCACATCTCCCTCATCAGGGATATCAGTAATGTTGTAGACATCCAAGCTCCAGCAGAAGTCACCTTCATAAGGAATCTGGATCAGTGTGTGATGGGGTTTGATGGATGGGACCCGTCTAATATTTGTACATATAATTTTCCCACAAAATACATTATCATCAAAACACTTAACATATCTTGACATTGCCGAGGTGGGATGGCCACAGTTTCCAAACCGGTCCCCTTTGCTGTTCATTGAAATGTAACAGTTTTCTGGGGCTGACCGTGCAGTGTCCCCATACATAGCCATGCACTGATTATCAGGGTTCCTACACAGACCCCCAACACAGTAGTGCAGTCTACCGCACGACGTCCCATCTTGCTTGTAGGTGTCTGTGGGGCACTCTGCAGAGGTACCATCACAATACTCTGGGAGGTCACACTCTCCCAAAGCAGAACGGCACATGGATCCCTTATTCTTCAACCGGCAACCAAAACAGCAGAGTCCATCACTACATTCTGCACTCCCCTTCAGGCTACATGTTTGGTCACAGCACGGGTCAGTGTAACAGGCAGAACCACAGTCACACTGCTCCTCACCCTCCACCACACCATTTCCACAGTAGGAACCCCTCCGCAAGCGGCCTTTGTGCCGCTGAGGGTTGTTAAATAGGCAGGCCCCTCTGTGTTCCTGGAGGAACTGGTAGAAGTCGTCAGAGCTACAGTTGCTGAAGCCACTTTCTTTAGTGATATTGTCCTGCATGAGGCAGAGGGGTTTGTCTCTACAAATGCAGGCTGAGTGGTCGTGCCGAATACCCAAGTTGTGCCCAAGCTCATGGACCATGAGCGCTGCAAACAGCAGGACATCTTCATGATGGAAGGATTCAACAGCTGCTGCAAAACCACTTGAACAGGCACCATTGAGAAATGCCTGTCCCATACCCTGTGCAGGATGCTGTCCGACAATCATGTGGGCAACATCATGCTTCACACGATGGAGGAGCTTCTCTTGTCTCCAGCTGTTGAAATTCCTGAGTGTAACTTGCAGGTCCACTGGGACCTCTATGAGGTCCCCCTCGGTCCAAATCTCCATTCCAGCCAGCACCACCTCTGTGTTTATTCCCCTCGTGAAGCTGTTGGCCAGGGCAATGATGTGCATCACTCTCTGGACCGTCTCATTGACGTCACTGCCCCACATTTGGAACCGCTGGTTGTTGACCACAACAAACATCTCCACATACTTGGTGAGTGACCACAAGTAGGACAGCTCCTGTAGACCGCCAGGCTTCCTGCTCCCTTGTTGTCGGCTGGTGGACACCACTGGGCTGTCTTTGGAAGTGACACTGCAGGAGACTGGTGCTTGATGGGCCATGGTGTACAACACATGTTCAAACTGTTTTGAAGAGTCCATGGGCTCAATGCCATAGGATTTCCCCTCCTTAATCAGGATGCCCCTGAGGCCTGAACAGGTGTTGACAGAAACAAAAGAGCCTGGGAGTCCTTCTATGTAGCCTTCATAGTGACAGTCATGTGAGATGAAAGGCATTTCTTGTCCCAGGATGCCATTGTGGTAGCTGAAGACTGGAAAGTTCTTGATAAAATAGTCTGTCTTCACTTTCAGGTGAATCACCTGTTTCTGGCCCTGCATAGGTATCATGTAGGATGTATTTTTCTCTTGGCCATCCCTTTCCTGAAGTATCAGCTCCTTGGGAATAATTATTTCATAGAAAGTATGATATACTGACCCCAGGTCACAGTACATACTTGGCAGGAAAACCACCAATAGTATCACAATTCCCAAACGGATACATGAAGATCCTGGCACTGGCCCCAGCCTTAAGTCCCTCTTCTGCTGAGCCCAAGTCTGAAACTGGATCTTACCCTTTTTCAAGGCCACTTGGTTTTTCCATAGAGAAGGCCGTATAGAGGCAGAATCTCTCATAGAGGTGGCCACTGACATGGCCTTAGTGAATCAGTTGATGATGCAGGGCCTGTGTCCATCAGCAGCAGCTTTCCTTGGCATGCTGAACCTTGGAGATTGAGATCTAACCTGGCTCCCTTATGGGTGACTGCTTCCCAACTCGGTCTTACAAATTTGAGGCTGTCTTTATACTCTTGCTTCCCTCTTGATCTTCGGTTGTTGCCTTACTGTATGACTTTGTTCAAACAGGAACAGCTTTAATGCTCCTTGTCTAAGTTCTCTTTATCCTCACAGAGACATATACCAAGTAGAAAGTCTGTAATGATTCAGCCAGTACTTTAACCCTGACAAACTATCCTTATCCTCAGTCCAGGCCACAGAACTCCCTGATATCCGTTAATCTGCTCATTCTTTGAAACCCAACATTCTGGCAGGAGGTTGGGGGGAAGGGGACAGGGATTCTTGGGGGATCTATGAGCAGTACAAAGTTCTCTGTTGCCCACTACCTCTTTTCCTCATTTCTGTTGTAATACAGGGTACTGTTTCTCAGTCCAGCCCTTCATTGTCAGTATCATTTTTTTGCCTTTAATTAAAAAAAATCACATGCAGATTCACAAATTCTCCCTCAGTAGCCTTTGTTCATGAAAGATGAAGTTAGACATTTTATATCTAAATATAAACATAATTTTTATCTTCTAAGAAGTTTTCCTAACATAGAGACATATTAAGTATTAAATGAAATGAGTTCAGTTTCACCATGGAGGTAGTTTAAGTGACTAGGATCAAAGTTCATTTCTTCTCAACTGTCCCAACATAAAAACAAGCTGATTATTAACCAACTACCTAGATACCATTTCATCAAGAAAATAAAAGTGAACTCTATAAGACCTTTGAAAAGATTTCTTCACTTTTTTAACTAAAATTAAACTCTAATCTCTGTACAAGTCCACAGGTTTTATCTTAATATCCTGGTGTATTCAACCGTACAAATTTAAAAGGTAAAAGGCAGGGAAAAGCCCTATCCACAACCCTTGTCTAGTTATTTTCCTGTGCATACTAAGATGAAGTTAAATAAAACTCTAGATCCTTTACTTTGCATAAAAATAATTTATATTAAGTCAAATATTTACAATATAAAATTAGGGTTGAGTACAAGTTTAACACACACAAAAAATGGGAAACTACCCTATCTCAGAATGATATGATACCACAAGATCTCAAATATGAGCATGAGCAGATCAACTCATCAACTATCCCCAATTAATATTTAAGTCCTCATATAGATGATAAAATTTATCATTAGCATCTAGCAAGAAAATTTATATTGTCATGTCACAAACCTATTTTAAAATTTTACAGCAAAAAGGTGAAATGATTTCTAGCTGTATTTCTTTTTTCTTTGTAGTTCATATAAGTGGAAAGAAAGCCTCTTAAAATTATGTAATTTAGAAATTATCAGATTTAAGGTGCTTCCCTGTGTCTTAACCAAAACAGGCAGGGCAAATTAGGTTAAGTCATTTTATGGGATGAAAGAATTAAATCAATAATGAAAGAAAACCTCTACTTTTTAAATAAATAAAAATATAATTAAAATTAAATATCCAATTTTCCAGTTCCCAAATTGAAACACATTTTCTTCAATAAATAACACACACGTAAGCATTCATACACAAGGTCTGATTTAAATCATTTGACTTCTTCTTTAACTAATAATTTCTTCAACTTGTTCTTTCTCAAATAAATACAAGAACAAAACTGTTTAAGAGGAAGTTCCTCCTATGTTTCAAACAATAAATTTCTGGCAGATATTCTCCTATGCTTATACAATATGTTAGCCAGGAAGATATACAAGTTGTTTTACATCAAGCAGAGTTATAACTATGGTAATGTCTAGAGGTATTTGAGTGATAAGTAATGGTTTTAGTAAGCAGAGGTTAGCAAATCATGTGGCAAAACTAGAGACTCTAACCTTCTGCCTACAAAAACTGTTCTGACAATATGAACTTTCTGTAGGTTTAGGGGCATCAGAGAGACAAGCCAGAAGAGACAAGGACAATTTTTGTCTCACTTTCAGTTACAAATTTTGCTTTATCAGTGAAAGTGACTGGTATGTTACGGCAGTACTTGCTACTGGCCTACAAACTCTCTCCACAGAGAAAACTTTGAACACCAAACAGTGGAGCTCTGTCCAGGGTAGGACCCACTGTTGAGTTACGACAGCCTTCGCATCCACAGGGTATTCACAAACTTCCAGCTTGGGGCTCATCTGGACATGTCTGGAGACAGTGCACATTTGGGGGCCAGATTAATTCACCCTGAAACAACTGATACATCGGCAACTGCTGCTCAAAGTAAACAGAACGCATCATTTGGGATACCCTTTTAGATCATGCCCAAAATTCACCACACCCTGAAGGGAAAAAAATCATCCTGAGCCATTAGAAGACACATAAACAACAAATTTGAGAAGTTCATGGTAGACTGGGCATGCTAGAAAGTTATTCTGAAGAAAAAGAAGAGTAACAAAGTATCCCTAGTGAATACTGAACCTGTGCCCTAAGATAAGAAAAACAACAGGTAGTCAGTTGTTCAAGAAACAAGTGCAGTTTTTCCTGATTACAAGAAGTGATTTGTAAGACTGCATTTCACTGAAAAATAGAATATAATTCAACCCTTAATTCAACTTTTAGCTAAGTTTTATGGTCAGCAAATAAAATATTTCCCTGCTGCCTAATTCTTAAATTTTGCCATGTTTAAAAGTACTGAATACTCCTTACAGGGTATCCATTCACCTAATATTAGTGAGTCTTACCTAAAAAAATACCTGAACTACAAATTCTCCAAAATAAAAGGGAACCAATGTAAAAAGGTAATTCTTAAAAGATACTTTGTATTATTATAATATATTTGCACAGTTACATACATATATAGGCCATACTAACCAAATGTCACCTAGATGACATTCTCAGCAAAATGAGTTAGCTCTGTGGGGTAGATTTTGATTGAGGAGAATGTGACAGAATAAAACTAAATATCTGAGCCTACCGATCCTTTCCCTCTGCTCTGAGAATTGGAGTTTGTCTATTAGCTCTTCTTAGGAACACAGCCTAACTTCTAAAAAAAATTTTTTTAAACATGATTTGTTATGGAAGTCCATTTGTACAACAAAAAAATAGCCCTAACCGGTTTGGCTCAGTGGATAGAGCGTCGGCCTGCGGAATGAAGGGTCCCAGGTTCGATTCCGGTCAAGGCCATGTACCTTGGCTGTGGGCACATCCTCAGTAGGGGTTGTGCAGGAGGCGGCTGGTCGATGTTTCTCGCTCATCGATGTTTCTAACTCTCTATCGCTCTCCCTTCCTCTCTATAAAAAATCAATAAAATATATTTTTTTAAAAACACACACACCAAAAAAAACAGAAAAGCATCCATCCTTGATTTCCATTCAAACAGCTGAACTTGGCCAGAAGCATGCTTCCCGATAATGAAGGTGGTAGAACAAAATAAATGCAGCCCAGAGGATGCCGACATGAAACCTAGGCAGAAACGTTACAGAAAAAAAAGGGCAACTTTAAGAGGAAAAACAACCTGGACCCTATTCGATGCTAATCCAGGGGTGGGCAAACTTTTTGACTCGAGGGCCACAATGGGTTCTTAAACTGGACCGGAGGGCCGGAACAAAAGCATGGATGGAGTGTTTGTGTGAACTAATATAAATTCAAAGTAAACATCATTACATAAAAGGGTACGGTCTTTTTTTTTTTTTAGTTTTATTCATTTCAAACGGGCCGTATCCGGCCCGTGGGCCGTAATTTGCCCACGGCCGTGCTAATCCAAAAGTCCACTTTTCATAAAATGCTACTTTCTCAGAAAAACCACCCCCTAAGTGGGCCAGAAAACAGGGAAAGGACATAGGAAGCAATGGAGCTGGTGAGGGCTGCCAGGAAGGAGAGAGGAAAAGTAGGGTCTCAGGGGAAGGGAAACTGAAATTTTGATTAAACATAAAAAGAATAAACTCAAAAGATAATCCATTAGATTTAAGAATCACACCAATTCCTTTTAACAAATATGGCCAATAAAAAAAAAAAGTGTTACCACTTTTCTCTTAGGAATTAGGGACAACAAAAATGAAGGCTCAGCTCCCTGCCTCTCCCATCATGGGAGCCAACATCTTGTGAATTTCAGCAGACAGTCACCAACATGGATCCACAAACATTTCTTGGCATCAGGGCTAATCTACCAATAGTGCAGAGAGTAAATACACAGGGCAATTAAAACCAAATTCCACAGTATTTGATTTAACTGTTTACTAAGCAGAAAGATCAGTATAGTTGGTCCTTTATCTACCGCTGACAAGTAGTTTTTATATACTTTATTACAAATAAAACAATCTTGCTTGATATAATATCTGTCATCTTACAAACATGACTAAGGAGTCCTAAAATAATGTATATTTCTAGGAGCTAAGCTTTTCTTAAAAACAAACAAATGAACTATACTATTAGTAAATACCATTATCTAAATCTATACAGCATCTTTAAGCAATGTGAAAATGAAATGATTTATTAATTTACATAAAAATTACTTTATACATTAAAGAATAGTTTTTCAGATTATAAAAAAACAAAGTCTGAAGCTGTCATTATTGGGATTCATGGGACGTGGTTTGTTCCTCTATCACTTGCTTCACAATTTCTGCCAGTTTTAGTCGATCTACTTTATCTGTGAATCCACGACCTGAAAGCCAAGAAAGAAAAAGATCAATCTCCAAACTGTTTGGGAGGAGATAGGTTCTTGACAGGAACCCAGTAAGGTACACCTTACCAGTGTCCAATTCACCTTCAAATGGAGGAACCGTCCCCAACACCGATCAAAAGCAGTTTAGACCCCCCATTTTGCAAGTAGCAATTAAGCAGTTCCATTAACCTTGCAGTAAAAATCCAATGTTCAGTACAACAGCAAACAAGGAAACTATGAAGAGAAAGATCTTTGTAATATATATGTTTGACAAAGCACTCGTATCAAGAATATATAAAGAACTCATACATCTATAAGAAAGATATAACTCAACAGAAAAACTAGCAAAAGAATAGGTACTTCACAAAAGAGGAAATCTAAATGGCCACTAAACATCTTTAAAGTGCTAAAGTTCATTAGGGAAAGGCAAAGTAAAATGACATTGTAATACCACTATAATCTATCCAGAATGACTAAAATAAATAGAAAGATAGACGAGAGTTGATGTGGAAGCAGGGTAAGTTAACCCTCAAACACTACTAGTGGAAGTATCAACCAGAATAACCACTTTGGAAAACTCTTAGCAGTACCCACTAAAGCCAAACAGATGAATACCTCCATGAACCAGCGATCCAATCCTAGATATGTAAGAGGTAAGAGAAATTAGTTCAGCAAAACATTCTTCAAAAGATAATACACAAGAGCATTCATAGCAGCCCTTTTCTTAATTACGAAAACCTGGAAATAACTCAAATGTCCATCAGTAGACTATCTACACACACACACACACACACACACACACACACACACACACAAAGGGTGGGCAAAAGTAGGTTAAATTACCAGCCACCACTATCAGAAGTAAGGATACAAAAAAAGAAGAAATAATAATGCAAATACATAATACAATCAATAAATAATAAAAGAATAAACTTTTGCATACTAACAACTGTAAACCTACTTTTGCCCATCCGTGTGTGTGTGTGTGTGTGTAGAAAGAGAGACAGAGAGAGAGAGAAATATATATTGAGAATATATATATATATAGAGAGAGAGAGAGAGAGAGAATGAGAATGATATGCTGCTACACACAAGGCTGAATCTCACAAATATAATGTTAACTAAAAGAAGCCAGACACAAAAGAACACAGACATGTCTGATTCCATTTATATAAAATACAAATCAATAGTGCTAGCAATCAGGATTGTGATAACCCTTGGGGGTGGGAGGTAGTGACTAGAAGAGAGTCCATGTTCCACTACATGTTCTAGGGGCTAGTTATAGGGAATGTTCACTTTGTAAAAATTCATCAACAGTACACACTTCAAATGTGATCCCTTTTCTGTATTGATATTTCAAAATCATTTTTAAAAAAACATACCAGGGAAGCTAATTTCTTCCAGGCTATCACTCTGGATTTCTCTTGTCCAAGAACCAAGCCAGGCTCTAGCTGGTTTGGCTCAGTGGATAGAGTGTGGGCCCCCAAATTGAAGGGTCCCAGGTTTGATTCCAGTCAAGGGCATGTATCTTGGCTGCAGGTTCAAGTGTGAGGGAGGCAACCAATCTATGTGTCTCTCTTCCATCGATGTTTCTGTCTCTCCCCTTCTCTCCCAATCTCTCTAAAAATCAATGGAAAAAGATCTTCCGGTGAGAATTATCAACAATAAAAAAAATAGCTCCAGGTAGGCCTGCAGAGATTCCTACACGTTCTAAACAATCACTTTATTGTATTCCTGGGGAAAGAAGTAATTAAGGCTCCTACCGTTCCAGCTGAAGCTTTGCAGAGTATCTCTCAGGAGTTTGCATTCCCGGTTATACTTCCAAGCCTCTTGCATTACTTCATTCAGCTTTTCATCTTCATTCTCGCCTATTGATAAAGATGAAGAAGTTGCATTTCCCTGCAGCATTATGGGATTTTAGTGTCAGAGATGGAAGGACATGATGTTCAACTTGTTGAAAAGTGATGACTAAAGGTACAAACTTCACCAGCCACTGCTGTTCCTGCTAATGTCTACATGATATATAAACTACTTCTGGTCTTTGAACTCGTCTACTGGGACAGCCTCACACAAATCCTCTGATGGCCCCAGAGTCTTCGCACTGGGGATGGGAATAGGCAGTGTCAGACTATTGCTGAGCAAAAACAGCTTAGGTCTCTGGTTAACCTAATGGACCAAGAGATAGAGGAAGAACAAGGCTGAGCGGGCTACCTTCTTTCTCCTAAGCTCATTTCTTACTTTGGAAGGCTATTGGAGGTACACTAAATATGAGTTCCCTTAAAATGCAAGAAGTAGGAAGACAGGTCAACCCAACAGTTTTCTTGCCTACTACTTTAAGGATCTCTTTCATCTGCTGAGAAAAGCCCATTACACCCCAATGAGTGGGGAAATAACATATTGAAAGCAAACTCTCACTCAAAAGAATCCACATATAAGTCACACTCTGCCCATCACATGAGTAGCAGCAGAGTCCACTTCTGACCTGGGGGCGTATTCTCTTTATTTCACAAGTTAATAAAGCCTTGAACTCTAATGGCTCTGGAAATGACGTCTCCTGACCTTTTCAAACTGAACTTGACCCTGTCCACATTCTCCATTCTCCATCACATGCCCTCATTAATAAACCGAGAAAATATAAAATTACATGCTGCACCTGGCACTGGCAATTAAACCTAAATTACAAATGTCACACAAAAAACAAAAGAAGGGTAGAATTTACCCTAACCCAGTGATATATATAATGTACTTACTTTCTTATACACAAAGATGAAACAGACAACCTCAAATTAAACCACTCCTTTTGTCATGTGCATGTATGCATATGTGCGCGCACACACACACACACACACACACACACACACACACACACACGGCATTTGTAAATGGTGTGACCTTTACCAGCCTGGGGGAGAATACATTGAGCAATCACATCACGGAGCTTTTCCAAGGCAACATTTGAATCCTCGGTTCCATTCTCACGATCGTGGATATACACACCATCCTTTGGCCTGGTGCTTTAAAAGTTTGGGGGAGAGATAATAACAAGGTAAGACCCAAAAACCTAACACTCAACAGATGTTAACTCTAAACATAAAGCAACAGATTTTTCAGAAAATTAACAATAGAGCATCTCCAACTTTTGATGCTATTTAAACAGCTTATTCTTCCCACCCTCTTAAGAGGCAGCTCAGTGGTTGAGCATCAACCTATGAACCAGGAGGTCACAGTTTGATTCCTGGTCAGGGCACATGCCCGGGATGTGGGCTCAATCTCCAGTGGGGGGCATGCAGGAGGTGGCTATCAATGATTCTCTCTCATCATTGATGTTTCTCTCTCTCTCTCCCTCTCCCTTCCTCTCTGAAATCAATAAAAAAAATATATATTTTTTAAAAGGCAGAAAATGGGCCACCCAACCATGAACGAGAATAAATGAAATAAGCTCAGTTACCCAAGTAATTTCCTCTTCCTCAGAATGGGGTTGTTCACAGAGTGCAAGGGTTTGAGGCTGACTTTCAGATCCTGGATTCGCATGTTGGCCAACTGTTCCGCATGAGCCTGCTGGATTCCTGCAACCACCGCCTGAATACAAACACTGTCGTCAATTTTTCATATTCATTTCTGAGTACCTAGAAAACTTTTCTAAGAGCATGGGAAGGAGCTCAAGGAACTAAGAAGGCAATTTCACTATTATGCTGGCCGTATATAAATTTTGATAAAGCAGAGATTCTTCCCCATGGGCCAGTAGGGCCCAGAAGAAATATTAACAAGGCTCATGCTCACAGTCATTGGCAAGGGCAAGTATAAAGAGAGGCAAACGTGTACATCAGAGAAAAGGCTGGCAAGCTACTGCCCGAGAAGCCTCCCAGATTGCCTCCAAAGTGTAGAGAGGCCCTGATGGCTCAGAACCCCAACTGTTTCACACTGAGTGTGGTAAACACTCAAGCACTGGTCTATACACCAGTCAATTAATTTATAATGAGAAATAACTGTCACAAAGTGTGGAACTCTTGAAATCTGTGTCTTTATGACCAATGCTTGCTCTCACTACGGGCAAACCAATGAGGAAGGCAAATACTCAGCAGAAAGCTTTGTAAGAACTAGATGATCCCATTTTTTTGGTATTTTTTTTAAAAAGGACAAATTCTTGAGTGTGTGAGGGTCTCCCCAGAAAAACATCAGGAAGGATACATCACACCATAGATTAGCTCACTTCTGAGGGGTGATATTAAGGCAAGGAAATAAAAGGGAACTTTTGCTTTTTATTTTATATATCTCTGCTCTGTTTGAATTTCAACAATAAATTCTGACCATTTAAAAAAGCAGTTCCAAAAAAAACAAAAAGCAGTTCCTTGTTAAGCGTGCTTTTAGATCAGGAAGAGTTTACAGGAACTATAAACAGTTGCCCTGGCTAACCCCCTCTGGACCCTCATATCTATCTATTCATCAGTGATGGCCCAACCAGAAAGATGGGAATAATTCAAGGGCACAAGTTCAGGCTCCATCTCCTAGACAGGGCTTAGATGGACACTATTCAACATCTGCGTATGTGGCCATTTTTCCAAAGTTGACCTACCCACATCATGACCACATCATTCTTTAACAACAGGAATACACTGTCACGTTGAAGTTCCATCTTATAGCCCTAAGAGCCACTTTTTCTCATTAACAAGATTCTCCAAATCCATACTTGGCTTCATTATGCACTAATTTTAAAATAATTACAGAAGGCAATTATTTCTTCATGTCCAAGATTTTGAAGAAAGCTACATTGAAAACTCATGTACTGACAAACAGAGGATACAAATAATCCCTTTGGATTTAGACTGACCAAACCATTTTTGCACTTACTGGGCATATTTACTAACCAGTAAGGTAACCGTACACAAATCTGAGATGGCAGAGAATTCTGTTCCTTCCAGCTCTCCTTTCTCTCCCATAAACTAAGGGAGGTCTTAGCATTCTCTTTTCCTGTTCACTCATTCTTTGTCACACTTTAACCTCATCCCTTTTAAGAAGGTAGCATTCTCCCTGGCCAGGCTGGCCTGTTTGCCACTGCCTTTGCCTCTCAGCCACACTCTTTCCAGACCACAAATCTCATTTGAGTGTCCATCTACCACTTGAAACAATATCTAAAACCTAAAAGATTTCCCTTCACTCAAACTAGCCTCATTCTTGGTTTTCCTCTATTTGTTGATGGTACTACCTGATGTGCTACCCAACTGTTCCCTTATATCTAATCAGTCACCAAAAATTGTAGAAAAATTGTCTTCAAAAGTATTGAGCCAATTCATTCATCTCTACTTCTCTGCTCTCAGAGCTGCCCCTCAGATTCTAAATTACCACAGAAGTCCTAAGTTGGCAAGTCTGCAAGTCTGGTTAACCATTCCTAAACACCTTCCCTATGCAAACATCTTCTCAAATTTCTACAATGGACTCTCAGCTACATCCTAGTAAGATAAGACTAGCCTGGCCGTTGTAGCTCAGTGATTGAGCATCAATCCATGAACCAGGAAGTCAGTATTCAATTCCAGGTCAGGGCACATGCCCAGGTTGCAGGTTTGATCCCCAGTAGGGGGCACACAGGAGGTAACTGATGGATGATTCTTTCTCATCATTGGTGTTTCTCCCTCCCTCCCTCTTCCTTCCTCTCTGCTATCAATAAAAATATATATATTTTTAAAAATGTAAGACCTGTCTACTTTCAAAGCCTGGTCCTGTCATATGCATCTCACTGACTTTCCATTAATGAAGTTAGGTTGTTTTTCCCACTGACGATCATAGGGAGGATATTCCTTTGAGTGTTGTGCTCCCTTAGTGTATGGTTACCAGGCCTTGATCTGGGTTTTTTATGGGAAGCTCTTTATTTCCAACCCTCATTTTCAGGAAACCAGAGATACTTCTCTGGAAAAGACTGCATGCTCTACATTGTTTTGCCGTTAACCCCTCACTAAGTTGAGTTCCCAGCATTCCTTCTCAACTCAACCTAATCTGCCAACAAAATAAGTATCATTCAAACCCTTATGCATGGAGGGTGGGGGCGGCTGGGGAGAGGTCAATGGGGAAAAAAGGAGACTTATGTAATACTTTAAACAATAAAGAATTTTAAAAAAACACACACACCTTATCCATCATCACTTGAGCAGAGGGTAGAACATTATCCAGGGCCTCAGTTGAGTTTAGCCAGGGGTGGTCCAACACTCCCTCAATGGTGAGTCTTTCCTCTGGTTTGACCTTCAAGAGCCTGTGGAGTAAAGGCCAACAGGGCTGCCATGTACAGTTGCTTCCAGACAACCAGGAAGTTCTGGGGTCTCACACTAACCAGCTCTACTTTCCGACTTTCTTCCAACTCCTACAAGCCTAGGCTTTCCATCTGCAGAGCAGGGGTGGGGTTCTAGTCCCTAACCACTAGCTGTGAGGGCTCTGTGTCCCTAGGCGGTCCTTTCATCTGTACAAACAAAGTGAGGTAAAAGTGGTAGGAAAAAACTTAACCCAGATATACTTCAGCCCAGTAATTAATCCCATGTGTAGGATTAATAAAATAATCCTACATATCGCTCACAGTTCCTGAGACCCTGAATATTGATGTTTTTAGGGTAGTGAGCTCTAATTCCCAAAATGGACTGAGAGTGCTCTTTTGGCTAATGGTGGCTATAAAATTAGTTGCAGGGTCAGGAGGTTCTGAAAACCCAGGTTGCTACTTGTGGTAAAATCTCGGTTACCATATGGCAGGACATGAACCTTTTATTCTAGAAACATTCTAAAGCTAAATACCTAGAAACTCTGAGAAGGGGATGGCATTTCCTTCTAAGCCTAGTGTATTGCTCTGATCAGAGTTCTTTACATCTTACTAGTATGTATTCATGCTGATGCAATTCCTAGCTCACCCCAGCATGCTCCTTGGGCTATTTACAGCACCTCCTTCCAACTACATATCCTCCCGTTCCAAATGTCAGAGTCAGGACAACATGCCTATTTGCTCTTTTATTCTGGATCATTCTGAACAAACAGCTTCAGATTCTAAAGAAAGGATTCATGTTGCTCTAGTGATATTCTATAGAACTGACAAAGAACCACTTAAAGGATATTGATATTTTGGTTAAGTAGCCAAAAAGACAGCATGGGAAGACAGGTGGTGATTTAAATACTGCCTCCACCCTCCTAAAAACCTTTTGCTTATATGTTTTAGAAACTAGCCCCTCTTTAGATACACAGACCCCTAATCATCAGAACAAGCTCACTTATGAAAGGGAGTAATTTCCATAGAGAAAGGACTGTACTGTCAGGAGACAGTTCCCAGATACTGCCCCTTTGATGCTTATCTTTATCACATTACAGATGAAGACACTGAAACCAAAAAAGGAAAAATTGCTGAGTGAAACCAAGCAATAGGAATACTAGAACAGTGCCCAAGACCCAGGCAGCTGAGCCTCCCACATATACCTCAACTTTAGGTCTGACTTCTTACCTAGCCCTCCAGCTACCAAAGGGCTCTGAATGTCAACTGTCCCTCATCTACTTATTAGCCCTAATTCTTCTAACTCTTCCCATCTTCATATATGTCAGAGCAACCAACTAGCAGTGAGAAGGCTGGAGGGTGGGGCCCAGGCCCCACACCATCAATCACATACTCCCACAGCAGCCAAGAAATGAAAAGCCAAAAGCACTGTTATCATCTTAATACCCCAGTTCATTCCTAACGTCCATCCCAAATGATTGGCTTACAGACAAGAGGGCACACAGGGGTCAGGGAGTAGAGATTATCACTAAGGCCCTGAATTAATGCTCACAGAGACACTGGCTACTGAAGGACCTGGGTTCACAACCCAGGGATAAATTCTAGGAATGCAACAGGAGGGAGCAAAGCTCCATTTCCATGGAGGTATGGACACTGAGAACCCTGATCTCAGGCTCCAGGGGTAAGATTTCTGTGATGCTAAATAGGAATGAACATGCCTAAGAAACAAATGACTTTTCTCTACCCAACATTCCCTGTGTCCCAGCACCTTAGGGCTTCCTTGGTCTCCCCGCCCAGTGACCCAGGAACTCACTTCCTCACAACATCTTTGGCCATCTCTGAGATCTGGCTCCACTCTTCCTCTGGGAACTCAAAACTGCCTGTCATGATCTTTCTCCGCATGTCCTTTGGGATAGTCCGACTGTGATGTTTGGAGTAAAAAGGAGGGTATCCACACAACATCACGTAGATAATCACTCCTAAGGACCATAAATCACAGCTCTGAAAGCAAAGAGAAAATGGTCACTCTTAGCAGAGGCACAGCTCCAAATAAAGCCTCCATGGCTGGCCGACATACACAGGCTGAGCTATCCAAGAATCACTTAACAGAGACTGGAAAAGTTTCAGGAAGTCTAACTTTTCACTCCATTTTTTAAAAAATATTTTTAAATTGATTTCAGAGAGGAAGGGAGAGGAAGAGATAGAAACAGCAATGATGGGAGAGAATCACTAATCGGCTACCTCCTGCATGCCCCACACTGAGAATCCAGCTCACAACCTGGGCATGTGCCCTTGACCGGAATCAAACCTGGGACCCTTCAGTCCTCAGGCCGACACTCTATCCATTGAGCCAAACCGGCTAGGGCTCCACTCCATATTTTTTATGTGCCACCTACACTACATAGACACACATCAGCATCTCTCATCATTGATGATTCTATCTCTCTCTCTCTCCCTTCCTATCTCTGAACTCAATAAAAGCATATTTTATAAATAAATAAATACATAAAAAAATAAAAGCATTCACTCCTTTGGCCCTGGCCGGTATGGTTCAGTTGGTCCTGTGCACTGGAAGGTCACTGGTTCGAGTCCCGATCAGGGCACATATCTAGGTTGCAAGTTCGATTCCCAGTCAGGCCATATACAGGAAGCAACTGATCAAGGTATCTCATATCCATCTTTCTTTCTTTCCTTCCTTTCCTTTCCTTTTCTTTTCTTTTTCCCTTCTCTCTCTCTCCCTTTCTCTCCCTCCCTCCCTCCCTAAAATTTTTTAAAAATAAAATAAAATAAATAAAAGCATTTCTTTGGCCACAAAGGACTCATTGTGCCCGCTCCTCCCCCGCCCCCTTTTTTTTTTACTCCTCACCCAAGGACATGTTTTTATTGACTTTACAGAGAGAGGAAGGGAGAGGGAGACAAAAACATCCATCAGCTCTGCCTCCCACATGTGTCCCTACCAGGGTTTGAACCTGCAACCCTTCAGTGCATGGGATGATGCTCCAACCAACTGAGCCACATGGGCCAAGCCTGCTTCTCTTTCTTTAATTAAGGTTGATATATTTAATTTTCAAAAATGTAATTATATCTTATTACATATTTTTATTAAAAATGACTTGTCAATGTAGCATTCAGTGTTCATTTAGTTGCCCAAAATAAAGTTTTTACTTAGACCAACATATATACACATTCAAAAGTAATATCAGCCCTAACCGGTTTGGCTCAGTGGATAGAGCGTCGGCCCGCGAACTAAAGGGTCCCAGGTTCGATTCCAGTCAAGGGCATGTACCTTGGTTTCGGGCACATCCCCAGTAGGGGGTGTGCAGGAGGCAGCTGATCGATGTTTCTCTCTCATCGATGTTTCTAATTCTCTATTCCTCTCCCTTCCTCTCTGTAAAAAATCAATAAAATATATTTTTTTTAAAAAAGTAATATGAACTGTTTTTTCCAACATGTTACTCATCTGCAGTGTAATTTTGATGAATGCCATACTAATTCATGAGCACCATTAGATTCACAAAAAGGAAGAGAAGAAAAAATATTGGGAAATTACATCATGCAGGAAATTCATTGCATTCATGCTGAGATTTTAGCAAGTAAATTTAAAGACAACCCTATCTTTTAAATATGGTCACTGGATTATACAGCTAGCCAAATAAATAACCTCCAGATGACCATAGCCCTTGGCTCCTGCTGCAAAACCTAAATCGATAAGAACCTTACTTTATATTTCATCCGACAAAAACTTAAATTCCAAGTACTCTTCTGCTTGTGGGGCTGCTTCCAGCCTTTTGCACAGGAAGATTAAGGGATAAGAATGGAATGAGCCACATTCCCAGAGGGCCACAAATAGCTCACTGAAAAGAGGCTACCCAGAGGGGTGAAGATAAATATCTCTTCCTCTACCTTGTTGTAAGTGTAGGGTGTTGGTGAGGTAGGTATGATGCCAAATTTCTCCTTTTGATGCCTTCTCTGTGCCTCTAGTACCTGTCAGAGTCAGACCAAAGGGAACAGTTTACTGAAAATCACACAATGACACACAACTTGAGAGACTCCTGGAAGGCTAAAAAGGGTCCACACTGGCAGTCAGCAATCAAAAAAACTCCACATAAACACAATACTTTCAACACCCCGCCCCCCCACACCCTCTTATCACCAGCAATCTATCAGTGCTTGCCCAGGTCAAGAACATTAAGATCAGGTCCCTGGAGGAGATTTATCTATTCTTCCTGCCCATCGAGGCATCTGAGATGACTTTTTCCTGGGGACATCCCTCATGCCTGTGTAAAAGCATGCTGATACATGCAACATGGATGAATTTCAAAAATATACTGAGTAAAAGTAAAACACAAAAGATACATAAATTCTATTTTTATGAAATTCTACAACAGACAAAACTAACCAATAATAACAGAAAGCATGTCAGTGGTTGCCTGGGGCTAGGAATTAAGTTGGGAGCAATCTGACTGGAAAGGCACACGGGACAGCTTTTGAAGTGATGGAAACGTTTTATAACTTGATTGTGATGTTCATCTTGCAGGAGTATCCATTTGTCAAAACTCATCAAACAACACTTCAAGCAGAAGTACTATGTAAAAATCATACCTCAATAAAGTAGATTCCAAAAGAATAAAATGCCTAAATCAAATTAAGCAGCTTTTAGGTTTCTGAAACTGAGCACTCCCCCTCCCATTTGTAATGCACGCCTACTAGTGCTGTAGAGGAGGAATGTGAGTGCACAGGCAGCTTGGTGGCACAGCCAGTGGCAGAAACAGAACATGCTTACCTGAGGTGCTACATAATAAGGGGTGAACTGGGGTGTCATCAAGTCACCTTGGTCAATTTTGGCAAATCCAAAATCACACAACTTCACTGGGGCATCCTGAAATAAAATAAACGGAAGTTATTGCTCCAGAGTTCTCAGTAAACATTAGAGGGAAATCCAGGTGTGCGGCATGTTACCTTGAGCGCTCACAAGTTTCTGATTGAGACCTGAGTATTTGAGTAGTATATCCTCAGGTCTGGAGACAATGATTCATATTGAGGAATTGTTCTTAGTAACACAGAAGTAAGCAATTTCTAGCGACTCACAGTTAGCCTTGTTTTATAACTTACAAAGTCAGCACTAAAATCAAAATCTTACTCAAAAGCTCCCTGGCTCTATAGATTGGCCCATAACTTCTCACCAACATCCATTTTATGATAGCCAGAGTAACTTATTTGATGGGACATGGTGTAGGTGCCAGACGGTAGGGGTTGGAGAGAAAAATACACCTTATCAGGGTTAACAGCAAATACAACTGTTAAGTTTTAAGGTAATATAAAACAGCACATAGATTCTGGCCCCATCCTGAAGTCCCCCCAAATAATATCCAAAATCTTAAGTCCTACAAATACATATAAGAATCATCCAAAATTATCCATGAGAGGGGTATTTCTCTGGGCTTCCAGCAAGGAAATAAGTGGGGAAAAATAAGCTGCCTAAAGCCTTTTCACTTGGGTTCAGAGCACTCCAAACACATACACACACACCTCCACGCCCACTTCGGAACTATGCTGTGAATGGCAGCACTAAAATGCAGAAAAGCAAGGCATCTCACCAAAGAGTTATCCTTGAAGAGCAGATTCTCAGGCTTGAGGTCTCTGTGCGCGATGTTTAACAAGTGACAGTGCTGTAGAGCCAGAGCTATCTGGAAAAGGACATAATGAGCAACCACATCTTAGAAAAATTAACTCTTTAGTGCCCCTAGTTTAGAGAACTCAGGATATTAAAAAATGATCCTTAATTAAGTCCATTAAGACTATGGCTGGTCTTCAATTTTAAAGCAGAAATTAAGTAAAACTTTTGGTACCAAGAAATAGAACTTAGTTTACCTGCAACGTGTATTTTGTTAAGCAAAAAGAAAAAATACAACAGTAAAATGACTCTTTATCAGAATGAACTGATGGTTAAATCCTGTACACAGTGAGGGAAATGAAATGTTTCCACTTGCATTCATCTGCCATGTGACAAGCACTGCAGAGTGAACACTGCACAGACAGCAGGCCTGGTCTCCCCCAGCAGGGCAGCCGCACTGACACGTGGCTCAGAAGGGAGCTGCACTCTCCAGGGAGCTCAACTTTCAAGCTCTGCCCTCAAGAACAATGGAAAGCAGCTAACTGGATTTTTCCACCTGATATTCCAATGTGCTCATCCCACTTGGTGAAATGTGGCCTGTTTAGGTAGATGTGAAGGGGTTTTGTTTTACAGAAGATTATCAGAGCTCACCCTTTAGTCCTAGTATTTGAAAAATACAAGGTATAACTTTTAAAATTAAATAGCAAGAGCAAATTCTGCCTTTTCTTCAACTCTCAGTATGGAAATGTCTTAGCATTCCAAGTATCAGCTCCACCGCACCAGAAAGGAGGCATCAAAAAATGCTCATGGAAAATTTTGAAGGATTTTTTAATTAAGAACCAATTGTGCTAGGCTTTCTGCTTTTCTTTGCCTTGCTTGCTTGACATGAAGATTAGCTTTGAGGGTTTAGCTTTTGATCTCCTCAAGATGTTATTTCCAGTTGGTTTCCTAGTATTGTCTGTGACATAAATCATTTCTCTAGCAATGAAATGTGATATCAAGTAAGCCCTAGCTTGTTTAGCTCAGTAGTTAGAGCGTCGGCCCATGGACTGAAGAGTAATGGGTTCAATAATTCCAGGCAAGGGTACGTACCTTAGTTGCAGGTTCGATCCCCGGCCCCAGCCCTCTGTCGGGGTCAGTGCAGGAGGCAACCAATCGATGTCTCTCTCACATCGATGTTTCTCTGTCTCTCCCCCTCCCTTCTACTCTCTCTAAAAATCAATGGAAAAAATATCCTCTGGTGAGGATTAATTTTTAAAAGTGGCATCAAAATAGAAAGACTGTAACCAGGAATAACCCAGAATTACAAAGACCTTATAATACTACTAAAATCTGAAGAGAGAAAGGTGACTCATAAGCAAAAATTATCTTATATACAATTGTCAGAACATATTTTTACACTATACAATCTTTTAAGTGGTATCAGCAACATTTTATCTCAAAGTTCAATAACAGTGCTTGAAAGCCATGTCTACAGATATCTACAATCTACAAGAGTTAAGATTACCTTCCTTCCAGAGTTTATTTACATCTTATAATAGACAAACAATTGACAACCACTTAAGAATACAGTCCCCCCCCAAAGCATAGAAGGTGTCACATTTCTCCTGTCAAAGCATCTTTTCTGATCACATAACAAAGCAGGCAATGAGAGAGCAAATAGAGCTTTTCTGCAAGCTTTCTTTTATTCCCCCCCAATGAAATTGTGCTTGTTAACCAACATTGTTGGCAGTTTGATTTGTACCCGGGGTTAACTTGCCTGCTTTGTTACTTGGCTGGCTTGCTTCTCTGTAAAGTGCCGGTGCTGGCTGATTCTGTGAAATAGCTCTCCCCCTTCCATCATCTCCATTACAATTAAGAGTCGAGCCCTGTTTGAAAGCATTTGATTTTGTTAAGTTAAAAAAAAAAAGAATTGAAACATCAAGTAGCTAATCTAAAGAGATACCTCATCTACAAAGTGTGTCATTTACTTCCTAAGTCTAGTCCTACCAAGCCCCTTTGAGTGTCCACTACCAAATGGACACTGTGCATAAGGAATATCCCTGACCTAACACTTTCTAAGAAGCTAAAGTGGGAGTGAAAGATTTAGTTTTGAAAATAATGATCCTTTTGAGAACATTACACTTAAGTGACATATTTTGTATATACATTTTAGGGCAGCTAGAATGAAAATATGTTGAAAACAGAATATGACTTTGTGTAGGACATAAATTTCAAGTCATTTGGCTGGGTATTGAGCTGTCTTGGTTTTTCATTCTGTGTGTGTGTGTGTGTGTGTGTGTGTGTGTGTGTATCTACTCCCCCCCGCACACACACTCCACTAGTTTTTTTCATGTGACCCAGAGGATACCCAGCAAGATAGCTGGAAAGGGTTACACAATTACTAAATAAAAGCAAAAGTTCTCATGTTATAAAAAAATTTTTTTGAATTTTGGTTACCATCCTTTGATATAAATGCTTCCAGCTTCCATCCAAATGCTTTCACCAACAGAGCACAGTTGTAAGAAATAATCATTCATTTCCCATTTGTTTTTACAAATCCATCTTCTTTCTCCACCTGGAAAACTTCTTCCTATCCCCTTCAAGTCCTAGTTCCCATGTAAAGCTCTGTGACAACTCACCTCGCCAGCCTACAGCTTGCAGCTCTCCTTTATAAGCTCAAAGTACTTTATGGATGCCTCTCCTTGGTGCCTATCCCATTGCTATAATGGCAGATTTATAGCTCATTCCCTCCAACAGAAAACAAACCTGATTTTAATTTTTAATTTCCTGGAAGAGACTTAGAACACCGTTCAATGGGCTTGCCAAACATTTGGCAGCTAAAAGAATGATGTTGGTTTCTCCCTTTAAAAGGAATGTCAGACTAAGCAATAAGGGCTTTTTGCCATATCAACCTCTAAAACATTGCCTAGAATAATATTTGGTTTCCTTTTGCTAATTTGAAATAGAATCTGTTTTAATTCCACATTACTTGCTTTTTTTAAAAAAGAGAAAGTAATCACAATAATCAGAGAGGCCAGGAGAATAGTAAGGTATAGATGAAACAAGACTGGCAATGAGCTCATCACTCCTGAAGCTGGGTGATGGGTACCTGGGGATTCATTACATAATTCTGTCTGCTTTCACAAACGTTTGAAATTTTCCAAAACAAAATGTAGGGAAGAATGAGAAAGAGGGAGGGAGGGAGGCAGATGGGGAGGAAGGGAAGGAGTAAAAGGGGAAGAGAGAGAGAGGGCACAAAAGAGGAAAACCCACTACATATGGAGAGGTAGGCATAGTATGATGACCCTGTGTAGTCTTACCTGGGGCTGGACTCATGAGGAAACTGTACACTGTTAGCAAACACTTCAATAATTTGAACTATATTTGGGTGTGTGGCACACATCATGTGCAGGCGTACCTTAAAGAGAAGAGAGGAAATGTTTCTGTACATAGGGGAGGCCAACATTTTCTCTCCCAACACCCCCACAAAAAACTGACAACATTAGGCACAAGAGGCTAAGCCTATTACAGTAAAAAACCTTATCACCTAGAATAATGTAAAAAAAAAAAAGAGGGGGATCACACACAGATTATCTCCTTAATGCTCTTTCTATGAAATGAAACCTCAACAACAGATTACTTGCTCCTGTCCTATCCATTAGTAAATGAATTAGCAAACAATTTATTTTCTTTCAGATATTATTCATACATCTGTAAGCAAAAGAGTAAGTCCTTCACTGCACTCTTACTAACATGTCATCACCAGTCCAGATCATTCAAAACAAATGTCTATTTTTAAAAACTAGAAACACATCCTCAGAGTCCTCCTGCAGCACACTTTCAAGACACTTTTCACCAGACCCTTCCCTGTATTATTTTCTCTCCACTCTTCAAGGACGTTTTCCAGTAAGCAAAAGAGGAAGTAAACCTGAATACTCAACTATGTATAAGAATCACATTAATTGAAACAATACTCTACTAACAGCCTTTGGTACTGATAGATGTAGGACTGCTTTTATAATAACACTAGAGGCCTGATGCACGAAATTCATGCAAGAGTAGGCCTTCCTCCCCCTGGCTGCCGGCACCAGCTTCCCTCTGGCACCCAGGACCCGGGCTTCCCTCCGGCTGCCAGCAGGCACCTGGGACCCGGGCTTCCCTTGCAGCCCCAGCTTCATCCAGAAGGTTGTCCAGAAGGTCGTCTGGTCTAATTAGCATATTATGCTTTTATTATTATAGAGGATGAATAGCAAAAAAGGGGTAAGTATGAACTTAAATTTTTTTAAAGATTCTTTGTGCATCTATGCATGAAGCTGCCCTGCTTATAAAATGAATTATTAGGCACTTCAATATTTAGGCAAGACAAGGCAATAAAGGATCATACCTCATTTCTAGCTTTTGGACGATCAAAAAGAATTTTCAGTGCAAACCGTTCTTGGGTAGAATTCTTCACACAGACTCTAGATTTGGAGAAAAAATTCAATCAGAAATCATCTATGTTACAGTGAAAACTAACTTAACAGGTTTGTTCTTTGAGAATTGTACTTCTAATCAAGACTATATCCAGGTGCACCAGAACAAACTTGCCCCCAAGCCTAGCAGGTGGAAAGGCAGAGCAGGATCTCATCCACTCTTCCTAGGCCTCAGCTCCTAAGCCAGGTGATGCCAACGTGAGGCCTCTGCTGGCTACAGGTGACTCTCAGTGGCTCCACAGGATCAACATCTTCAATGATTCCATGTTACAGAACGTGTGACTTGGTCACTTAAGTATATTTCTAAATAGATGAGAAATAGCCTAACTTGTTTAAACACCTCTACTTGTTAAATTAAGGCTGTTTCACAAATCTGGCACCATTGATGCTTCTAATTTAAGGTGCATTTCAAATGGCCCTTTTCAGAGCAATTTTGTCATAGTTTGCACATGGGTCTCTTACCTAACTGGACCACTAATTCCAGCTCCCAGTTTCTGAGTCCAGTTGATATTATATTCCTCTAAAATGGAGGTTTCCTATTAAAATAAAAAAGAGGGGGCAGAGAACAATTCTCCAATTAAAAAGCTGAACAGTTAAACAAAGGTGGGACAACAGAAGATCTTTATCACTCAATATCTCGTCTTCTGAGAGAATCTGATAAACAAAGCTTTGTGTTCTATAGGGCTTTATAATTAGACATGTTGTTTCAATGACTAGATTAGGCATATTTTCCAACAAGAGCAAAAGCAAAAACTTTAGGACAAAAAATTTGTCAGCTCATCTACAAGGTCCACTGGAGTAGAACCACTCAATGTCTTGTTTTGTCTTTGGAGTATACGGGAAAGATTCTTTCAAAATGCTGCACTACTAAATACTGATTTGCTTAAATGGTCAAGTATTTTCTGAGATTCCAGAAAAACTAGTCTTATCTATGCTCCTATGATATAGAGGCCTATATCCTAGAACAAACTGATCAAATTTTTAGAATAACTGAATAAATTGACTTAAATTTTCAAATAAAATAGCAATAAACATCATAGTTAATTTATATAACTTTCAATAGCACCATTTTGAGTACAAAGATATTCTGTCATATTCATTATATAACTATATTTTTTATATTTTTCAACAGTTTTCAATAGTTCCAGATAGATTCTCTACAGTTTAATGCAAGTTTTCATGGAATTCTTGTTTAGTCACTATTATGTTGAGCTTCTGTTGCCTATAGGCAAGAAAGCAATAAAACTCACTTTTTCACATGTAGGGTTCCACATATAGAATAGGAAACTAACTGCAGACCTTGAGAAATTAGGCCAAAACTCATGAGACTTTAAAATTGTCTTGTTGCAATGAAAATCTGATAGACCATATTTATCACTAGAATCTTGATTCCCAGTGTCTGAGAACAGGTTATTTGTCCATGAAACACACTCACTGTGCAGTTAGTATGTGCCAGACACCGGGCTAAGTTCAGAGATGAAAACAGAGCTTCTGCCTAGTGAATATGCAAGTGTATAAAACAAGCTTAGAATAGCCTTCATAGCAATGCTCAACAATCCTGGAATGAATTACTAAAACAGTGTTCGCCAGGGGCTGGCGGGAAAGAGACAATGGGGGAGTTGGTGCTTAATGAATATAGAACTTCAGTTTTACAAGCTAAAGAGTCTGAATATTGATGGTGGTGATGGTTACACCACATTATGAATGTATTTGATACCACCAAACTGTACAGTTAAAAATGGTTAAGATGGTAAATTTTGTTGTATTTTACTACAATTTAAAAAAAAAAGAAAAAAAAAGTAAAAGGATGGAAAAAGATATATCACAAGTAACCATAAGATAGCTGGAGTAGCTATACTGACCACAGACAAAATAAACTTTAAAACAGAAGATGTTAACAGAGAAAGGGAGGCACTTTTGATAATGATGAAAAGGTCAAGTCAACAGGAAGAAATGTCAATTACAAACATATATACATGCACCTAACAAGAATCCAAAAGCAAATGAAGCAAAAATTGACAGAACTTAAGGGAAAAAAAGAAAATTCAAAAATAATACTTGGAGATGTCAATACTCCCCACTCTTACTAATAGATAGAAAAGCTAGACTGAAAATCAGCAAGGATAGAGAAGACAACACTATCAACCAACCTGACCTAACTGACGTCTGCACAGCACTCCATCCAACAGGGGAATGCACATTCTTCCCAAGTGCACATGGAACAGTCTCCAGGATAAAACATATGCCAGATCATAAGTTTCAATAAATTTTTAATCATGGATTAGAGGACAATTTGAGCAACTGTCCCCAAACTGATTAATAGATTCAAGGGAATCCCTACCCAAAAGCCAATCAGCCTGTTCGGTAGTCAGGAGCCTAAATTTAAGTGCTACAGTTAGAGCCCAGGAAAACGGCTTTCCCAGCTGACCTCAGTTCTCACCACTTGAGGGGCAGCCTCAAAAGGCAAAACCATGAATACACACAGTGCCACACACCAAACGTTTAATTGGATGTGATGCCAGCTTGCTTCTGGGGGAGTACATCCTAGTCAGTACTGGTTGTCAGTTATTTTTAGCTTCACTAATTTGTATTGGTTAGGCACACCCAAATTAGTAAGAAGATTCACCAATGACCTGTCAAGAATGTGAAGGCTAGCCCAGCCGGCGTGGCTGTGGTTGAGTATTGACCTTTGAACCAGGAGGCCAAGGTTTGATTCCTGGTCAGGGCACATGCCCGGGATGCTGGCTAGATCCCCATTTGGGGGCATGCAGGAGGCAGCCGATCAATGTTTCTCTCTCATCATTGATGTTTCTATCTCTCTCTCCCTCTCCCTTCCTCTCTGAAATCAATAATATATATAAAGAAAAGTATGTGAAGGCTAAAGAGAAAACAAGAAAATTACGTTGGGCAATAATGACCACGTGAAGAAAACAGCATCTCTTTCTAAACCTCTCTTAAATTGCTATAAGCTAATATTCACCAAGCTCTTACTAAATGTTAGCTATTGTCATAAGCACATTTAGATATTATTTGCTCATTAAATCCTCAAAAATACCCTACGAGCTGGAGACTGTTTTTAGCTCCTTTCTATGGATGAGGAACTAAGGGACAAAGAAGTGAAGTTGACTTACTTAAGGACAAAGACTGAGATTTCAACCCATGAGCCTACCTAGAGAAATTGTTGTAACCACCAGGTAACATTGCCTCCCCATTTATATCTCTACTAGAACTATGTCCTTCTTCTGCTCAAAACTCTCCCAGACTTCACCTTCTTTTTAGGGTCAAAGTTATTCCAATGGTCTATAAGGCCCTACATGGTCTGGCTTCCCATTACATCTCTGTAACAATTTTTACCAGTGATGGCGAACCTTTTGAGCTCGGTGTGTCAGCATTTTGAAAAACCCTAACTTAACTCTGGTGCCGTGTCACAAATAGAAATTTTTTGATATTTGCAACCATAGTAAAACAAAGACTTATATTTTTGATATTTATTTTATATATTTAAATGCCATTTAACAAAGAAAAATCAATCAAAAAAATGAGTTCGCATGTCAGAGGTGTCAGAGGTTCGCCATCACTGATCTATACAGACCCACTGAATTCCAGCCACCTTGCTGTTCCTGGATCACACATGAACCTGCACCTACATTGTGCCTTGTACCTACTGTTCCCACTGCCTGTAATATTCTTTTTTTTAAAATATTTTTTATTGATTTCAGAGAGGGAGAGGGAGATAGAAACATCAATGAGAATCGTCGATTGGCTGCCTCCTACACGCCCCCCACTGGAGATCAAGCCAGTAACCAGGGCATGTGCCCTTGACCGGAATCGAACCCAGAACCCTTCAGTCTGCAGGCCAACACTATCCACTGCGCCAAACCAATGAGGGCTGCCTGTAATAGTCTTCCCAAATACAGGGAAGTTTTGCTCCTTCCTTCCCTTCAGAACTCTATGCAAATGTCATCTCCTCAGAGTCTTTTCTGACCTCCCTTCCTAAAACAGTACACCCATCCTTTTATACCTCTTCTTTAAAACAACCTGACAATGTGTATAACCTAATTCCACCATCTAGAATATAAGCTCCATGAGATCAGGGACACCCAGGAGGCTGGCTTTGCACCAGTAGTGCCTAAGACAGTACTGGGGACAAATGAGACAAAGTTGATTTTAAAAATCTGCCACATGTTGCCTAATTTCACAACCCATTCATATACTACTAACTTTAGGCAACAATTCTTGACCCTATATCAATAAAATCTAAACTAAAAGAAAAAATGGATACTTCAAGGCAGTCTTTATTTTTTAACTGAAAATCAATCATTATAATTATTTTTGTGTGTGTGTATATATCTCTATATATACATGACAGTATAGAGAGTAAATTCTAGTGTTGGCTGAAATGTTGATTTTAAATCTTTCACATGCATAGGATCTACCTTTAATGTCTTCTGAATTTTAATGTAGTTGTATTAAGTTGAGCTTGAGCTGGTATGATGGAAACCTTGAAGCAAAAGTCTGTAATACTAGATATGTAATAGTTTATGATCTTGATTCCTTTTCAGCTGAGTTCACCCCGTCATGTTCCTTCCTAGGTGCTAGATGCTAACAGCTTTGAAAAGCAGTCGTTCTCTGCCTTCTCTCTCCAGCTAGCAGCATATGACTATAGCCTGCAGATATGCCCGACTGGCCCCATAATGCAGGGACACGTGCCATCCTCTTTACAGGGTGAGTCCTTGTGGTTTTCACTTTATTAATGAGCAGAGTTCAAGTTTTTCTAAAACACTTAAAACATGTGTTTATCTCTCTGGAGATACTGATCTGTCAAAGCAATCTTTTAGAACCTTTATTTCTATTATGAAAAATTTGATCTCCCTTAATGTATACATTATTTTTTGATGTATCTTTTAAATGGTGAAGTTTCTTGGTAATGATTGATGATTTCTATAAGCTTTACCATCCAAAAATTTGTTAGAAGTTTAAGTTCTTTATCAGTTATTGGTCATGGTGATTGTGTCCTGAAAGGGAAAATACAGTAACCCTTAATTGCCAATGGATTCCTGTCCCTCAAAAGGAGATGAAATCCTTAAACATGTTGAGTTGACTTAACATTGTAAAATAGTAAATAACACCTATTAGACGTTAAGCTTCATGTTCAATTTATACAAGACTCTAATTTCCTAATCATAGCTAGATAATTTTCTCTTAATGCCTCAAAGAGTTTTTTTTAAAAAAGTAAATCAGGTTTTAGAAAAACTGTCATTTTATTCGGGTCATTTTAGAACACGTAGTAGCTTTTGGTTGTTGTTAACAGAGCAGTAAGTCACAGGACACCGCTAGCTCTTCCTAAATAAACGCAGCGCTCCCTAGGAGGAGGGGAGAGAAAAAGTGGAGGGGAACACACTGGAAAATGAGCACAATCTATTCGCCAAAGGACTGGGTTTGTAGGAAGGCGAACCACCTCCTTCTGAACTGCAGATTTCCAAGAGGCTAGTTTCAAACAAATCGGAGGGATGGGTAAAGTCCAAGTCTCCGAGTGCTGTGGCAGCAAGCGGATCATCCGGAAGCAACTGCTGGCGGCACTTGGGGAGAGATCGAGAGTAGAGCAGTGAGACCCCTCCACCCCATTCCCTCCAGTATCGCCACGCCACTCGACTTCTGTTCCAGGGGAGCACAGGTCCCGCCCCCTGCCCCCCACACAAGCCCTTCGCCCCAGGGCTGCACCACGCAGGCCGCGGGATCCGGGGGAGACCGAAACCCGGGAGCGGCTGGACTCTCACCCCAAGTTCCCTCCGTTTCCTGCGGCCGGTGCGCCGAGCGAGAGAACGCGCAAGGCAGAGCGGAGACGAGCATCTCTCTACTGATGCTTCTCATGTCGCTCTCGACATAGCTGCGCGCGCCCGACGCCGGGAGCGGCGGGAGTGCGCAGCGGCGCCGGTCCCACCGCCGCGAAGGGAGCAAGGGC